TGCAAGCTCTTGTGTGCTAGTGCTTCTCCTCACCTCGAGACTGCCACCCAGGACTGCGACCCAGATCCAAGTATAGGCAAAGCAATAGAATCTTCTCCTCACTGCTGGCACAGAGACCCTTGTAATTCTCCTTCTGGCCAGTTGTGTGGCCCCCTTGCAATCTGTGGGCTTAGAGCCCCAGGAGCAGCTGCTGCTTTTGCTGATTCAGTGACTCCCAAGACCTGCTCCTACTTTGTTGGGGCCCATTCATGCTGACACAGTCTGCACTGGACTATGTTCCACTCTCACCAAGGTACGACAAATCTTTCCTATTACCCCTCTAGGTTGTCTTTGGCTGGAAAATTATCTCACCTCATCCTTTTGTGGGTTCTTTTGCTCCAGGAATTGTTTTATGACATTATTTAAAGGTGTTCAGAGGGGTTTGGGGGAGAGCTCAGGCAAGTTGCTGCCTTTTCTCCACCATTTTGGCTCTGTAACCCACCCCACCTGGGAATATTTTTAAAAGGAACGTAGCATTTTCTTTTCATTTCATGAGAATAATAAAAACAGATAGTATGAATTAATTAATAAGAACAATAGGACCCTGTGTTTTGATTTGGAACATATGACTAGAGATGAGCTACTCTAATAGCTAGGAAAGTGCTTCATTATATGGTCCCAAAATCTGCCTGCCTTTAAATTCTACTCTCAAAAGTTACAGAAAATAAATTTAATTAGTTTTCCACACTTTTATTTATAGCCTTTCAGAGAATTGAAGCCAATTATTATATCTCCACTTAGTCTTCTTTTCTGCAGCTGAAACAGCCCCATTGTCTTCAACATCTCCTCATGTGACATAGTTTTCAGATCCATGACCAACTTTATCATCTTCCTTTGGTCAAGGTCCAGTAAGTTTTTAGATGGGTGTTGACTCATCAAATCCTGTCATTAAGAGGCTGAATATCAGACAAGTGCCACGTAACCATTTATTTTACTATGCCTTTAACTGCTAGCCATAATATATTTTTCCAAAGTTTATTATTTTTAATTAGTTATAAAGAGCCCTTTAATTTATTTTCAAGGGTTTTTTTTGAGGACTGTTTTCCCATTTGTACATAGGCACATTTATTTGCAAATGGGACAGTTTGTGAGCAGTAAACAGAATACTGGGAAAAATTATTTTAATCAATCAATATGTATTTACATATATTAAGTGTATACTCCAGGGCTAAGCTCTGAACATACAAAATACAAATACAAAGAATGAAACAATCCCTCTCTCAAGGAGCTTACATTCTATTTGAGGAGACAAGCACATATAGTATATACACGTACATACATCTTTGCATGCATTCATGTGCATGACTATACACGTATATGTAGTTATACCCTTGTGTATATGTATATATGTGTGTATATATGTATTGTATATACATATATGTATATATTCATGTGTGTGCCAAACAAACGTAAAGATAAAAATAAATACAAAAATATAGAATAGTTAAATATAGAGAAATTAGAAAGGGAAGCCATTAGCAATTGGGTAACTTAGGAAAGGCTTCATATGGAAGATAATATTTGAGCTGAATCTTGAAAGAGATTGGTTCTACAAGGAAGAGGGAAGAAGAGAATGCATTCTAGTAATGAGGGATGGCCCATGAAAAAGCTCATAGTTGAGAGATCCAGGAATGTTATGTCTAAGGAACAGAGAAATTGTTTTGGCTTGATCAACCTGACGTAATAGGAAGCCACTAGATTTTATTGAGTAGGAGAATAACATAATTGATCTGTGCTTAAGATAATTTTCTTTAGCAATGTTGGGAAGATTGGACTTGAATGGAGATTTTATTCAGGGAAACCAATTAGGAGACCATTGAAACAATCTAAGTGAGAAGTGATAAGAGCATTGTAGCTATCTGAGACTTTGCATGAATATATGGATCTGGGAGTCATATACATTGAGATGATAATCAGACCCCTATGAGTTGATGAGGCCGCCAAGAGGTAGTGTAAAGATGGTAGCCCAGAACAGAGACTTGGGGAACACTTAAAGATGCAGTTAGGTGGTATAAGATCATGAGCTACCAAAAGAGACTAAGAAGGACCAATTAGACAGTAGGAAAAAGACCAGTATATCACCAGGACCTGGAGAAGAGAGATTATCCAGGAAGGAGAGTGATCGACAGTGCCAAATGTAACAAAGAGGTCAAGAGAGATGCTACCTGAAAAAGGACCCTCCAGCTTTGAAATTAGGAGATGACTGGTAACTTTGGAGAGAACAGTTTTAGTCAAGTGATGAGTTTGGAGGTCAGATTGCAAAAGTTTGAAGGTTAACAAAAGAAAAGGAAGTGAAGTCAGAGTGTAACCTGCATACTGAGTGAGATGTGATCCCAGATGTACCCTTAGTTTAGGCAAAATGTAGGACATAGGGCTGTCCCTTGGGGAAAGGGGCAGGGACAAAACACATCGCAAGCTAAAGGGAGGGTAGTTGTGGGTGGGAAGAATGAGGTCCCAGTGTATTTGTAGTCTCTCTTGTCCCATTTGGTTATAGTACTCTGGATATCAGTGACATGTATGATGCCATTTGATTCCTTTTTAGTTTTGTACAGTACACTGTACAGCATGCAGCAAAGTGAGAGGTGGCCATCCATGGAGGACAGAGACCTTAAGGATAGAAAGACCTGGTTTCAAGTTCTGCTACTGGCATGCAGTCAAGTCAATTAAAGGGACAGGCAATTAAGACTTCACATTACAGACTAGCTGCTGATCAGCAGCAATAGAAGACACGTCCACACCAGAATTTCGCTACACTGATGAAAACACAGCTTCATAAAACAAAAACCATGACAAAAGATACAAGTCATAAGGACTACTCCAAAAATATTGTACATTGGTTTAGTGAAGTTCTATAGGACAAAGTGCTAATGAAAACAGACTTTATATAAAAGAAGAAGCCCTGGGTAGTCAATAGACATGGGTCTGAGACCTAGCATTGCCCATGTGACTTTGGGCAAGTCATTTATTTGTTTTGGGTATCATTTTTTAAGATGTTTCAAGGAGGTTTTGAATATGTGTTCTCTAAGGTCCTTTTCAACTCTGAAGTTCCATGAAATCTATGAAGGATCATAGGATTGAAAGGTGGACAAACCTAAGAGAGAATCTAGTTCAACCTCAAATTTTGTTAAGAACATAGCTGTTGATGATATTATATGAGACAGGCATCATCATTCTAGCACTTTAGAACAATGCCTAAGAGTGAGAATAATAACTACCATGTCTGTAATGCTTGCAAAGTTGGACAAATGTGTTATCTCATTTGATATTGAAAAGGAAAATTCTACCTTATGTTGTAGGTACAAGTGTGTCAAAAGAATTCCATTTAATCTAACATCAATCTAATATCTAATCATGTCTAGCCTAGAGAGAAAGATATCCAAATTGGCATAATCTCTCTGTACCTTCAGACATGACTTTCTACCACAAGATCACTTTAGGTAACATTTAATAAGAATTTTTAACAAGGAAATCATTGTTATATGTCAAAATACAATTTGGGGTTAATTGTCACTATTTCCTTCCTCCCTTGAACATGCCCTTAAAATGTTTTCCAAGGGTAAAACAAAGGACCTTTTCCTGAAATTAGCATCTTAAGTCCTTTCTCAATTTAGAAAAGTGAGTCATAGAGACACTTCAGGGGATGGAAAAAACAGATATAGCACTTAGATTGGTCAATAACCCAATTACTTCCAGGTGAGAGAGGAAATGATCTAAATGAGACAAGAGTTAGTCTTTGTTCAAAGTTTTGGTTACAGCTTAATTTACCTAAGAAAGCCCTTTTGTCTTCCTCAATCCACCTTCAAACTTGAAGACTGGAGACCAAGAAGGCCCTTTCAGACCAAAAAAAAAAAACAACACACTTTAACATTTCTAGAGAAACCAATTCATTTTTTACTAAAAAATTCATTTTTACTTTTCTTCTACAATCCTCACAACAACCCTGTTAAGTAAGTGCTATTGTTATCTCCATTTAACAAGGTGACAAAACTGAGACTGAGAAAAGTTATGTGACCTGACCAGAATCATGTTGCCTAGGTCACAAAGTAAAGGTTCGAGGGAGGATTTGAACCCAGGTCTTTCTAACTCTAAGACCAGCATTCATTAACTGCCCCACATTAACTCTCTCTGAACTGCCTCAGAAATGGGACAGCTTACCTAGACACCCAAAGAAAAAGTCTTCCCCAGAGGCATGCACAACAAAAAGATTATGATATTGGCAAACTGGAAAAGGTACCGTACCCTGGGGCCCGATTACTGGGCTTTGAAGAGAGGTCACCTAGTTTGTTCTCCTTTCTTCCAGAAAGCACTACTTTTGCCATTTCAGTGAAAAAGTCTATAGGATTAGGGAATGTATGGCTTTTTGACTGAGCCCAAATTTTACAGAACAAATCCTTTTATTAAGGGGATTTGTTCTGTGAAGTTTGGATTCAAAGAGCCACACTTGAGGACCTAGAGGGCCACACAGGTTCCCTTCCCACAGGGACTCTAATCTAATAATCATTTCATGGGTTTGAGTTTTCCCTACAGGCAGCCTCAGTGGGAAGGGGATTGGTGCTCTCATTAGGGCTATTGGCTGCCTTCTTGCCCTACAAATCAACTATTCTGCCTCTTGGGTTGTGAAACTTACTCATCAAAAAATAGAATTCACTTTAATAAAATTATAATTTGGCATTCTATTGCCATACATTACTCATTAATAGAGAAGTCACTTGGGAAACCATAGTCCCTATATATTGATATTTTCTTTTCCTCCACTAGTTGAAATACGCCTGTAGAGCATGAAACATATAATTAGCTTTTTTTTAAGACTGAAAACAATCCGTGTAGTTTCTTTATGTCAAATATAAACAATTCTTGTTCCAGGCATGATATCCAGATGTATTAATTGCTATTGTGAATTTTCTCAAGAAGTTGCTGGCTGGCATATTTTCATGTAACCTGGTTTTTGCTTTTCCTTTCAGGAGCTGGAGTTTTCCAATCTGTTTGCTGTTCTCCACTGTATTCATTCCTTCTTTGCTGCCAAAGTGGCTTGTTTGGACCCTCTCTATTTAAGCAATCAGGCCTCTGCCTCTGCTTCTACTTCTGCTTCCTCTGCTGCTACTGGCAAAGTAAAATACACCACCTGACCCCCCACACTTCATACTGCAACAAATACACAAACTGTGTACAAATGTTCCTCACTACTAGACCCTGGAAAAACCACAAATCTCCCAGATCAACAGACAAGTCCATACTGCAGTTTTGCAGAAGGAAACATCACAATGGATCACAAACTCCTCTCAGTTCTGCAAGACATCTGTAAATAACCCTAGCCGAAAACCAACCATAGGATGGATATGCTTTTACTATGATCTATTTGTACAAAGCTACTGCTTTAAGCAAAAGTAGAGACAAAAGAATTAATGATATGAAGAAACACTTAAATATCCAATAAAATTTTCAACTGCCCATAAGAAACTACAAATGGAATGGTCATTTTCTTGTTTCCAGGTTATTTTCTATGACAATGTGCTAGGCTTTGAGCCTGAACTACCACCCCATCTGTGTATTATAAGTGACATAAAGCAAGCAAGAGACAGACAGACCCCTGTGGCCACAAAGAGACTCGCATGAAAGACATTTGTCTAAGTATCTCCTCAAAGAAGAAAGCACTTTAATTCTTATGATAGGTTTTTACCTGTACCCCCTCTTTTTCATATATGTAACGCTGTCATTCTGACCTCATTGTTTTATCTTTAGTTATTTTAATCCACTTGTAAAGAGGTAACCATGCTGACTCACCACAGATGAAATGAGAAATGGCCTCCTCCCATCTTGGATCACTGCTGTAATAACTTTCCAGACATAGGCCTTAATGTTGATTAAAAATGAAAACCAGATGTTATTTTAATTTTGACTGATGCAAATGGGTTTGGTAGCTCCTTTATTTCTATCTTCATTGTGGGGAAATTTATTTTTAATCTAATGTCTTTAATTGACTTAGCTGAGGTAGCAAAGTGTCTGTGACCTAAGGAAATTTTCATTAGGAAATAGGCTAGAACACATAAGAGAGAACAGGTGAGGAGAGTCTCTTTCACTCAGTCTCAATTAATCTATCAAGTACTCAAATTCCCCTAGAAACAGCCGTACAGGCAAAGATTTGTTAGTTCAATGGCATGACTACTTTATAATACCACTATTAAAGGAAAAAGAAATAGGTAAGCTATGGAGATAGAACAACATTTCTCTCTGAAGATTGTTTCTTGTTCATCATACAAAAATGTATTTTATGTTCTTGATGTTTTGACTCGTGGTGAATGTAAGATGGAGGAGGTGTAAATTGGAACTATCAGTGCTTCTTCCACTGGTCAGACTTCAAAGATACACTACTTGAATACCATGGGCCATGTTCTTGGTCCTAAGATATGGCTTTAATAGGAGTTTCAGATGAATATTCAAGCCCCACTCCTATTTTTTTCAAATTGATTTTGCACTAACACACATTTGTGAATATAATCAAATATTTGGTGTTTACTTTGTGTGTGTGAGACCTAATATTGAAAAAAAAATGGAAAGCCTTTAAAGCAAGAATAGTTCCCTTAACTATTATTTAGAAAGTGAGCACATGAATGTTATATTCATATTCTGTTGTTTCCATGGATTTTATGAATATGAGTAACCAGTCATTGTTTCCTATTATTTATTCCTGAATGGTTCTCAAATGTACTGAATCAAAAAAACATTTCTAAGGATCAAGAAGAACCAGAAAAGAAAGTGGGATTTTCCAATTTTAAAAGATTTCCTTGTAACTCATTTATTTCAGAATGTCATTAAATCCAATAGTCAATTATTGCTTACTAGATAAGGGTGAGTTTTGCTTTCAGTTTTCTGATATTGTTTTTTAAACCACTCTGCCTTAGCTCTTTGAAGATTTGAGTCTAATAACGGTATTCTGAGTGTATTTGGAATGTATGTCTTAATCGACATGTGGTCAAAATATTTTGAGTCTTGAAGGACTTATGCTATGAAAATATTTGCCAAATATATGGTTATAGTTTCTCATACATATGTAAAGTGTGCAAATTTTCCTTCCCGATACATTTGTCAGAAAACATTCCTTTCCAAAGGGTCTAAATATGGAACAATCATAGTTTAATGAAATTTTGGCTGGAAAACATCTTTTGAATTATCGAGGATGACTAACCTTTATTAATAATCAACTTTAACTTGTTATGTTTTCTTCTGTAACTCTATTTTTATTAGTATTAATTCTGGATGATCAGAATATTTAAATTGTATAGCACATGTCCATGGTGTGAGATGGGGGCACTATCTGCATAGTACAACCATTTGGGAATTAAACTGGTTAGTTTAATGTTGTCAGGTAGCTGAGTAATGGTTTCCTGATTTGATCTTAACCTAAATACTTGGTTATAATTTTTTCTTTTGCTTTTTATTTTTTTGATGTTTTGGAAACCAGATCAGTTTATCATTCACAATACAATTGAATTATACATGGCCAGCCTGGGAAATTTTGTAGATTTGGCCTCAGGAAGAAGTTATTAATTTCAGTTTTAAAAGCTGATATAGACATATGTCTGTATTTATTAATATACTTTTTCCATCTGCAAACTCAGAATGATATCTTGTAACCTAGGTATATTGGTAATATTTGATACAAAAAAAGTAAAAAGTTTTGAATGCCAAGTTTCTTCAAATTATTTAAAACTGTGGTCTAGAAAATTATTTTTCCCCTAAGATAATAAGTAATCAAAATTAAAAATGCAATAGAATGAAAAAATATTTTATAAGGTATTATCCCCTACGATAGTAGATTTCAAAGAATCATTGAGTAAGTATAAAACTGTTATAAAGACTGCATTTTTTGGGGAGGTCAGGGTTGGACAGGAGTACATTTACATTTTTTCTTTTTTACTAATTATGGTGGCACCCAACTTGAAAAAGAAAGCCAAATCAAATATTTTCATATTTGTGTAAATAGGGTCAGATTCTCCATTTGTATAATTCTAGAGAAAACGTCCTCTAAGGCTAGAAGCTCTAAGATGTGGGAGATGTATGAAATGCCAGATAATGAGGCAGAGGAATGCTGTGATCCTACAGGATCTCAAGAACCAATTGTTAAATTTTCAGTGTGAGCATTTAGACATAAGAAATTGCCGAATGCTACAAATAGAGACCTGATTTATTGTTTTCTTCATTAAGAAATCAATGGAGATGATGTTAATAATTCAGATTAAATTAAGTATGTCCTGTGTGCACTTTTTTGGAGAGCCAGTTGTTAATCATTGACCAGCAAACTGTTTTAATGAGGTTCATACAAATAGAGGCTCTAGGATTTCAAAGTGTAACAGGTAGAGAAGGGACCATCAAATGTTTCAGTTCGTCGGAACAGTCAGCTCTGAATCTCTGCGAATAGACAAACTGGATTGCAGAGACTGGCCCACTTCATTAGAAGCTCTCCTACCCCCGTGCATATGGCAGAACCTGCATCTCCATGTTCCTGCTGTTTGATTTGTCCAAGTAGTCAATTTTAATCATACTGAAGTCTGCATAAATGTAATCTTCATAGGCCCAATTAATGGACAACTAGACAGTTTGTTTTGGGATAGAGTAGAAATCTAGCATTAAATTTCAAATGGTTATTCTGATCTATCCTCACTGCCTCGAACTATTGTTGAATTTTCTAAACATGTCCATCATTATATAGCATGAAAGCTGGCCTACGGGGAATAAGGAATCACTCTTAGAGGGAGCAAAACATTCCATTATTTGTAATGCTCGATATAATTTCAATAGAAAGCACTAATATATTTGAAAACTAATTTGGAATATCAACGTTAACCTTTTTAAAATTGTGATTAGAGAGAAAAAAATTGAATGGACAATTCATTTTGAAACCCACTGGAAGCTAGATTAATGACTTTTTTCTAGTCTGTTACTCAAATGCCAAGTACATAAAGAAATGTATTTGTATCCCATGATATACAAACCAGTGATTAAAAAACAACAAAATATTCCCTATAAATTCTGATCTATTATTATACACATATATCATCTACACACACACTCTTCAAATATAGAATATAAATTATAGTTTGAACTAAAATTCATGGCACTATCCATGTTCTTATTATTACTGATGTTTTAATGAGGATAAGGCACAATTGGTGTTTTACATGATTACATTCACACATATATAAAAATTGTATTTTAATTCCATTCATTGAGCAATTAATAATTTCATTTTATTTTTGCTATATAATTAATAAGTACTTTTATTTATTATTGTTTGAATTATATGAATGAGAATTCTTAGAAATGGTGAAATAGTGATCAGGTAAACTATATTCCCATATAATTTAGGTTTAGCTGCATGAAATTTATTTATTACAATCCCTAGAGACAGCTACAGTTGTATATAATACAACATTTGAATAGCAGAACCTTCAGGCACCTAATCATACATTACAAATGTTAACCCCTTCAGTGCCTTGGAGTTTTTTGCATTGTAAAAATCCTTTAGTCCTCCTCCCTGTACAATAGTATACATACTGCAGAGTAAAAAGGGACATTTTAAAGTATTATCTAGCATAGAAGGGGTTAAAGTATCACTTCATACTTTTACTAATATCTATATAATCATACGGTTTGCTCTCTGGGATGACATTTTCATTTTATTTTTGCCATTAGCCTTTAGCTGAAGGATATATTTTTTTAAAGCATATGTCATTTTAGTTGCTATTTTATCAAAGGGTATTTATTTTTAGGGGAAAAAGGTTAATAGCTAAGAGAAAATAAGAACATATCACCTAGTTATTAACATCCAAGTGTCTTGCCAAAGTTTTTATGTGGGAAAAACAAATCTTTCCTTGCTCATGTTTTATAGGTGTTTCTGACTTCTAATTCAAAAATGTTTGCTTATTGGATTTCCATTCAGCAACTACTTGAAAAGCTGCAATAATTCCTTGTTAGCAATGTCAGCAGAGAGGTGTACTTTAGTGTTCATTAGTTCTTATACAATCCTTTCTTTCTACTGCTATAACTTAGAGGTCAAATCCTAAAATTTTAAAGAAGCCCACACTGCACTGGCCTTGAAAAACTCATGATCTTGACTGATTCAGGCCTG